GAGTAGTATTCTTGATATGCCGAGGCCACGTTCTGGAGCCCCATCGGAAAAGAACTCGGATCTTCGAAAGACCTCGGGCCTGACTCCATCTCGGATGCGGAGCCTGAGTTTGAGTCGGATGCGCAAAGCCATGAAATCTGAGTTAAATCAGATGTCACGAGCTGCGTGAATCTTCTGGTGATTTGATCTATCGTAGTCGCCGAAATAGAAAAGTCTTCATGGTGAACCGAATCTTTGAGAAGACGGCTTTGGAGCTTGCCATCGTCGCCTGCCTCGTAGATCCATGAACCAAAGATGAAGGTTGATCCCGTCGAGAAGATCATGTTGTCGAGGTCCATCGAGCTCTCGGATGCAAATTCGCCGAAAACCCCTACTTGGCGCGCCAGCTGTCGATGTTTTACCACTGATAGCCTGCCACGGGGGTCCCCAGGACAGTATGTTTGGGCTTCAGCGTATGCGGAACTTGACAGTGAATGCAAGAGATAGTCGATTTATCCTGGTTCAGGCCCTCGTCTGTGGTCGAGTAATAGCCCTACGTCCAGTCGGCGTTAGCCTTTGCATTGTATTGATTGTGTGTTGTTGTGTTGTTGTGTTGTATCATCTTCCCGTCTCTAGGAACCCCGCCCTCCTTTATATAGTCAGGAGATTAGAGTCCTAGTCGGTTTAAAATGAGAGTTCCTAGTAGGATTACAGAATACTACTACTACTAGGATTTCATGGGAAGAATTCTAGCTGGACTAGATCTTCTCCCTTCCTGGCGGGGTATCCTGTGGGTCCCGCATCGACAGCTCTTTTGTCTCTCAAACACTCAAAACACACATGGGTTGGCTTGAGCACTTATGAAGCATTATCTATCAACATGAATCATCCCTCTTAATAATACGGCATTCCTATTAACTTAAATTTAAAGAGTATAACAAATTTAAACATTTTGAGTTGATCTCTTTCAACCGAAGTCGTGTATTCCAATCTTTATCAAGTGAGGGTGCCAACATGTCAACTTTGATCCTTTTCACTTGAGCATAGCCATCCTGAGCACGTGACTTGATTCTATTCACTAAATATGAATAACTCCAAATGCATAAAGTCACTTCCAACACTTTGTCCTATATAGATTTGATCCTCCACATCAATATGACCATCATAGCTTGATTAGTACCTCAACTAAATGCAAGTACTTTCTTCTTCACCCTAGCTAGGTTCTTCGGCCGCCAAGCCGTCGCTTGCCCTTCACCCTTGCTTAGTACATCGAAGCCTTTCCTTGCTATCTTCACCATCTCAAGCCATCAAGTCACATCTTATGTTGAATCATCCATTCATTTGTATTGTTATCTTTTTCATTTCAATTTAGCAAGATTCAAATATGAGACCATTCCATATGCAATCCCTCATGTCTCATCAACTAATTTTTACCAGGCTTGCTTTCACATACTACATGGAAATCTCACAATAAATAAGCCTTTGCATGAATTCCATTTGCATTGTTGTCTTGTGCTTAAACTAGATTGTTTATACAACAACACATCATTTTGGCTTTCATTAAGTACCTATGAGATAACCTATTACCTATCCACACTTAGCAAACGGGTTAGACCTTTAATCACGTTGTCATTCAAACATCCAAAACCCACTAAAGGGCTAGATGCACTTTCAACTCTGGGTCCCGATCCATCATCCCCACAAACCTAGAAGAATCTGGCGTCGTCGAATGGCCATTGCGCCTGGCGAGCTCCCGCTCAAAGAGTGCGATCGCGTCCCTCGTTTCGGAGAGTTGGGCGAAAGTGTTCGTCAACATGTAGAAAATGAGTCGGCTTAGCTCTGGTTCGAGATTCGCCTCGAGATATGCATCGATTCTGCATACTAGCGCATCAGAGTCGACGATCGCGGGACCAGCTCGGGCCGGTCCGTGATCAGGCGTCGAGATGTGCGGTGGAGCTGCATTCTCTTCGTTGAGTCACAACTGACCTAGGTAGTCAGCCACGAAGTCCAGGTCCCCAAAGCGCAGGGCTTGGACGGGGAGAAGGCTGTTGATGGGCGCTGGCCCATCATGTCGGCGAACTCAAGGCTTCTGAAGTGGATGCGGCCGCCGGGGGCCAAGCCAAGAGCAAGTCCGACGTAGGTGCATAGCCATCACTGCCTTCTCAACAACAAGAGTGCGCGACTGATCCCTACCTAGCGCGCCAACTGTCGGTGTTTTGTAAACCGGACCAGTAAACTTATACGATTGCCGTGCTGCTCTAGGAAGACGATGGTAGCATCTAAAAGACACGAGGATTTTTATTGGTTTTGGCCGGAGCCCTACGTCAAGTCTCAGAGATGATCGAGTACATGTTCCTCGCTTGAATGCTCTAAAGTTCTTACAATGGGGGGTGCAAGAATGGTGGAAGAGGTTGGAGAGTTAGAGCTAGGAGATGGACTGCCAGAACGGAAACTCCAGGAGCCCTACTACGAGGGAGAATGAGTAAAATGGTAGAGGATGTCCCGAGACAGGTGCCCTGGCTGCCCTTATATACAGTTCAGGGCCAGGACGTGTATAGAGAAGGAGGTTTTCCCGACCGAAGGGTCGTGAGCCTAAGAGAGGTCCTAGCTAACTTGGCTTGCAAGCTATGCCATCTTGTGATGCACGTCCGGGCGTTGTTGTCATCATGGTCCTATGGCCACATCGCGGCATGGTGTGGCGTGGTGCTACTATGTCGGCTGTGGCGGCACTATAGGCATGGTGGTGGTTCGCCAGCCATCCTGTGCGACGTGGTCTCCGCCATGGCCTTCGTTATTGCCTTCTGGTTTCTTGGGGCGTCGTATAGGAGTTGGTAGCCGCCTCTAGGTCGTTGATCATCGGGCTGTCTTGTGGAGCTGAGGGCCACGATCCCAATTGTTGGGGTCATGGCTCCCGCCAGTCTGGTTGGCCTCTAAGTCAAGGCCCTCGTCGTGGATCCCATCCCGTAGTAGGTAGGATCGTGCATGCGTCTTGTTAGGCTATATTTGGACAGTGGGTACCATACCAGCCATCACCATCCAGCGGTGTTGTCTTGTCTAGATTGCGTGGCATAGGGATGGTGTCTGACCAAACGGAGGTGACCCCTGTCCCCTCGGTCCTTGCGGGATGAGTGAGGTGTGCTTTCTCTTGTCAGAGCGGACGTGTTTGGCTAGGCTTGACCTCTCCCCGTTCCTCCCAGGGTCGGGACGGGGGAGAAGTCGTGCGCCCGTCGAGCGTCGTGCGGCTAAGGCAAGAATGTGGGGTCGTTGCCGACCCCGGTCTTGGCGTCTAGCCTGGTTCACTTGGCCTAGCTAGGCCTCGATCGTTCGGGCCTTCGCCAGCTGATGTCTTGCGGGCCGCTTGGTCTGCTAACTAATTGGTGCCTTGAGACATCCTGGGGTTATAACCCTGACATTAGGTTACAGATATGTTTCCTAGCCGGTTACAAGGAAAATATATCAACTAATCTATCATATCTTTGTACGAGTCGGCGTCCAAATCCTCCACGTTAGGTTTCTTTTCCACAACTTCTGATGATTTACCCTTGTTCTGGTGGGCCTTGCTGCATTCGGCCTATCCTGATAGTATTGGGCTAATATATAGGTGGTGAGTTACTCTGGGTCCATAGCACTGACACAAAGCAGACTAGTTCATTGAGAAGTATGAAGAAAGCACATGTAATTCTTAATCGTTATTCCCAAATTTAGTGGAGAAACAAACTAACTTATGTATTTTATCTATCTTTAGGAACCAGGATTTCGTTGGGATGAACACCAGCGGGCGGTGGCCATGGGCAACCGACATGCAGCGGCGGGGGGGGGGGGCATTTTATCGAGCATAGAATTGGAGCATAATGTAAATGGGCCTTCAATCCAGTGCAATCTAGAATAGTGGTTCATGCTCTTTTTTATTTATCTATACACGTTAATGTGTTCTCCATGCAATCTAGAATTATATATACTAGTATACGTTTATGTAAATAAATATGCCGCAATCACAATCCTCTTTCCATGGCTATGTTAAAGGTAAGTCGTCCCAATTATCTAGTGACTGTGTTCCCCTCCTCGAAACAATCCTCTCAAAGAGATATACCCCCCTCCTCTGAACTTGGGAACTTGAATTTTTGATCCACATCTCACGTATCTGTTCCTCGTACCCTTCGTATCGGAAACTTTGTGACTGTGGGCATGAATATTCCACTGTCGGAACTGTACCTCAATGTGGTGAAACTGGATTGAAATAACTTGGAACCCTTGTGTGTTCTAATAATCATGGCTAGCAGCAGTTGTGATTTGTGCTTGTGAGGCATGCTTATGGTTTTTTGGAGGAAATATCAGAGTTATTCCTTTTAAGATGGTTAGTCGGACAGCCTATTGCTCAGGTTGTGGGTTAATATAGGCAGCTCCTCCTCACAATAGATCTTTCATGTAGAATGCAAATGAACATTTTTGTGCTCCATACAAATTAGACTACTACATGCATACATTTTTCTCGCCCACTCGTCCTTTCCTGGTTAAGGAAATAGCGAATGCTGTATGCATGTACTTGATTTGATATAATTTGATATAATAATGCTGCATGGAAACACATAACAATACAAAGAAAAAAATTTCAGGGACTCCAAATATAAAGAAAGAAGGCAACGGAAAAGGCGCGCGAACCACAAAAATCACTAATACTAGGCACAATGGGTGATGGGACGCAATGGCTGGCTACTAGATCCCCCGTTGGACGCGCTTACGTGAGGCACGGCAGAGCACACACTTGGCGGCCCTCCGATGGCCGTGTGGGCTGCACTCTTGTACGCTACAAAACTTTTCTTCCCTCCTCACCTCTTCAACACTTCCAAACCCTATGCATCATTGATCGCCCTATGCTGCTCACAAACACAACACAGCTCGACGTGCCCTCTCGCAAAATTTGAGCAGTGTTTCCTCGTCCCCTTGTCCATTGGTGTTAGTTTACTTGCTTTCCCTCGTCCTCCCAATCAACAGTGTTGGAAACACAAGCACAGAAATAGCTCATGGATGATAATAAGGTGAAAGAGAATGAGCATGAGAAGCATGATGGGGCTGATATTGAGGAAGAAGAAGAGGATGAAGAAGGTCACAAACGCTTTGTTGTTCTTGGGCCCCAAGTCCCCCTCAAGGAACAGCTCGAGCTCGACAAGGTATCTGCATTAACATCTTCATCTCTGTTTTGACCATTTAGGAAAAAAAGGTGATATTTTACTTGTTAGTGTAGGATGATGAGAGCCTGAGGAGGTGGAAGGAGCAACTCCTTGGGCAAGTTGACACAGAGCAGCTCGGAGGTGATTTTAGCCTCTTATTTGCATCTTTTCCTTATATTCATACAGACTTTGGTGGATTTCTGAACATATAACAAATTTTGTTGCAGAAACTGCCGAGCCAGAGGTTAAGGTGCTTAACCTGACCATCCTATCACCGGGCCGGCCAGATCTAGTCCTACCAATCCCATTCCAGGCAGACGATAAGGGCTATGCATTTACACTCAAGGATGGCAGCCTCTATAGCTTCCGTTTCTCCTTCACTGTCTCCAACAACATCGTGTCAGGCCTCAAGTACACCAACACCGTCTGGAAGACTGGAGTAAGAGGTGTGCAACACCAAATATGCCTGTGCATGATTACTATTTTCTAGTACTGAATACAACTTGATTAGATCTTCGTATTCTGCTCATGCAATTTTCATTGAATCTGCCGACCGAGTCATATATTACAGATGACAGAAAGTTTGAATCTCATAGTCTTTGTATATGAACTTACTAAGAATAGACATCAGTGTGAAACTTGCTATTTTAATTTTGTTTTTGTTTGAATAGACAACTTATTGTTTCTCCAGTTCATGATATACTTAAAATTGCAGTAAGATTTGCTGCATTAGTGACATTTGTAGACAGTTTTTTTGTACGTAACATTTGAAGACAGTTTTTCTAGTTCATAGTAATCCTCTTATGAGGCAATGCATGATTCACATTATCGTGACAGTATTTTAAGATGTAAAAATAATAACGTGGTACATAAGTGCTGAAAACAAAAACAAAAAGAATCAGGGAATCAGGTTCATGTTGCAGGATAAGTCATTGCATTAGTCATCAAACAAAAAGAATAACATGAGTACCTGAAGACACTTCCATATGGTACAGGAGTAGGATTTAATTCTTCATGGTCTACCTGCTATTATCCTTTTGAAGTCGTTGATATTTTCCCCCTTTATTGCAGTGGAGAACAAGAAGATGATGCTGGGGACATTCAGTCCCCAGCTAGAGCCGTACGTCTATGAGGGTGAAGAAGAGACCACACCTGCTGGCATTTTTGCAAGAGGTTCCTATTCTGCTAAACTAAGGGTACCTCAATTTACCAACTTTTATTTCTCATTAATCCTTCATCATTGTTGCTTCACCAATCATTAATAACGTTATGTATTCTCTTATAGTTTTTTGATGATGATGGCAAGTGCTATTTGGAGACGAGTTACTATTTTGAGATTAGAAAAGAGTGGCCAGCAACCCAATGATATGGAGCAGTGTTGGCTTCTTTAAATATGTTAGAACTCTTAGTTAAGACAAGCAGAAGATCTATTTTATTGCTTCTAAAGAATGATTGCTTCACATATCGTTGTCGTTAACCACCTTAGAATTTGTTTTGATTCCGTTATTTTACACTCTCTGTTGCATAATATTGTTAATTCACATTATAGAATCAGTCATGTATGAAGAATCAATGATATATTTATGTACTGATGACCTTCTTGTTTCTCTGAAGCACGCACGCTCCCAGCTTCCTTCACTACTTCATCAATTGTTTAACATTTCTCTATCCTGTAGTCACTTTGTAATCATTTATTTTCAAGAACTTACCACTTCTTATTGTATGAATGCATTTGACCCAGTTGTCAGGTCAAGGTTGTTTGTTTGCAAGGCTACAAGCTAATCTATTTTTTTAACCTACCGTTTTTTTAAAAAAAGGAGCAAACCTCTTCTTGGAAAGCAATTCAGAGCATGATAAGCTGTGATACAAGACTCCAATTCTGGGATTACCAGCTTACATGAAACAATAAGAAACTCTCCGCACTCAACTAAACCTCAATCTTCGCAAACATTAGCAGTGTTAATATAGTGCCTCGTGATAAACTAGTAAGCAAGGACGTCATAACACAACTTGAATTTTAGACTTCTCCTAGTGAGATGGGCTTCTCCTAGTGTTTTAGCATTCAAAATTTAGTATAAATTTTCCCTACTAAATGCCTCATAGTAAGATTCCCATGTGCTATGACTAATGGTAGTGTTTTACTACTACTTAAAAACACTAGGAGAAGTCCACCATTTTGGTAGTGTAATCTTGAGCATGCGTGTTACCCTTTCCTCGTCCTCCTCACTGACATTGACTAACCATTTTTGCATGTAAGATAAGCAAGAAACATCACATTCAATGGCCTTGTTAGTCTTTTCGAATGGCCATTTTATTGCGTACGCTCCAAATCTCCCATGTGCAAATCTCCCATGTGGACCCCTCCAATCCAGAAAAGATTAAGATATTTCGGAAAGCCAAGGGTTGGCAAGCAATTTCTCCAAAAATCCTGCACACTGAAGCAATAAGACCCCGTTTGGATTCATCAACTCTAATAGCTAGCTAGCAGATAGCTCATAGCCTTTTTCCCTTGTGCACGGTGGCCACATCTTGAGGGCGTGGGGGCTAGGTCAAGGCGCGCGCAGCATGGTAGCTGTGGTTCGCGGACAGCGACCATGTGCACAGTGAACAAGCGGCAGACACGGCTTGTAGCACATAGCGATGGTCGGGGGCAGCAGGGGAGACGCAGGGACACGTGGGCGGGCACATGGCGAGGCAGCATAAGCGCGGCGACATGTGGGCGGCATACGTCTGCCATTGGGGCAAGCCACCAAACAGCTGGCGCAAAAACATGTGGGTGGAACAAAACCATGTGCAGTTTATGATCGGTTTTGTGATCATTTCCGTTTAGACTCGGGCGTGGCGTCCTACACAAAATATCTTCACCCCGTCGTGATCTACGACATCTATTAAGGGCTCAAGGTCATTGTGGCCATGTATTAGTGTGTAATTAAAAGCAAAGTAGGCACTGCCAAGCTGTTTCTAGAGTTCGTGGCATTGCTTTAGGGGTTTCAATTTGACACTGTTTAAATTCAAATTTGATGACCAAAACATGATAACAAAATGTTCACCAGCCACCCAAGGCTCTTCTTCCGAGTATTTTGGAAGCTAGGTTTGTTGTTTAACAAAAATTAAAGAACACGAAGTGTCAATCTCACAATGTTAAATTATTTTCACCACTTAGAATATTCGAAGTTCTTTTATGAATTTGAATTCCATTCAAACTTGGAGGCTTAATTTAAGTTCTTTAAAGTATTTTCAACATTAGGTCTCGTGAAAGCCTTGGTCTCCCAACAGACACAAAGGCTCCCGCCCCGCGTACCTTCGGGTGCGGCCTGCATAGCAGACCTACAGACACAAAAGGAAACCAAGGTAGGGGCAGCGGTCGAAGGTCGGTCCCCCTAACAAGACCTGATAATGCTGAATAAAAGAAATATGAAAATTTCAAAAATTATATGTGGACCAGAATGAACCACAAAATCTCTATCATAAATGTAATTGAACCACTTATATGCTTGACCAAATATGCATGGTAGAATAGATTGAAAACTGAGCCGCTTGTGAACATTCACAAAATCTACAAACACATTTCTTATCCCAGTGATGGATACCTAAATGTCGAGGCAGAGGTGAGGTCAAAGCAATGGCATCATTGTTCCTTTGCGGCGCCCTTCCAAGAAGGATCCTGGTATTGGGCAATGGCCATCCACCAACACTCGATTGTATCCCCTTGGCAAGAAGAGAGAAGGATCAATGAAATGAATCGCCATGTTCGCAGATGGTGCGCTGGTGCTTGAGGACTTGGTTGCTCAATGACATTGAGAGAAAGAAAGAAAGAAAGAGCACCAGCGGTGGAGTGGAGGCACGATCCATGAAGGGCAACAAGAAAGGAAGGACCAGCGAGCTGAGGAACCCACGGAGGTGACAAAATATGGAACCACCGAGACATTCGACAACTTAAGAGAGCGATAGAGGGATCAAAGAGGAAAATGTTTAGGATGTTATAGTAGGATCTATAGGTATTGGACCTAATTTAACCTAAGCCAAATGATCAAAAGAGTCAAAACATAGGGCACCACTAGGCAGTGACGAGAGTCAAACATAGTGGTATGTCAAGTCCCTAGGAAAGAGACTCCCGACCGAGAGACCCTCGACTGACCCCTCCAGGGTCACTCGGGGGCTATACCCATCGGGTACACTCGCGCATACCCTCCGGTCAAGGATTAGGCAAAGCCCAAGCATGCTCATGGCACCTGCTCAGGACTCGGGGGCTCGCCAGAGCACCTGGCTCTCAACCGACGGTAGCCCGAACCTGATCCCCGACTTGACCCCAGTCCGAGCTAGTGTCCGGGCAGGATCCAATGCCATGGGCATCCACCTTCCTGAGCTTCCAAGGCTCTAGAAATGGCTCGGGGTCTCCATGGCGCTCGCCTGATTGACGGGCGAGAGGTGCTACCGAGCACTCCACTGACAAGACCACGCAGATGGCATGACATAAGGGGACAAATCATCCCTCCGATCTTAGGGGCACCAGGCTCTCGTGGCCGCCCGTCAGCCCCTGAGCCAGAGCGCCTTCGCCACCAAGGACGCCTCGAGAAGGCTCACTCGGTGAGGCCAAACTCACAACAGACAACACCTATGGTCAAAGCGTCAGGGCCAGCAGAGTCAGGTGGCGCCCAAGGTGCCTCTGACTCCATGACAACGCTAAGGTCCATCCACGCCGCAGCGGCACCCTCCTGGAGTCTGGTGCACGAAGATCATAGACTAAAATCCCAAACCGCCTTGTACCCTATTGACACCTATGGAGGCACACATAGATAAAATCCGCAAGTGCATGGGTATCAAAGTAGTTTTTACCCGAAGTAATATCGAGTGTCGTATCCACAGGGAAACATGTGTATGTCATCTAAACACTAGTTTATCCAGGGATAGCAATCAAGGTATAAGTATGAGTAGAGAGGATTCCTATGGATATGACCCTATGCAAAGCAAGGCTTATGATTCTAGTGTTCACTTTGGGACGCCGCTTAGATGGTAAAGCATCGCTAATAGATAACTCTGCCAATGCGACTATGGTCCTACTAATTTAAGAACCTGCTCAATTTGGAGTGGACTTCAAAGGATAAACCCTATCACCTACCACTACTACCATGCAACCAGGGAGCAGGGAGCCAACACAGGTAGCCGATAGCCTAAGCACCACGCTTATGCTAATGATTACTACTCTAATCCAGCTAGCAGGAACTAGAGTACTCAAAAGAACTGTGAACCCATAAACAATACTTTAAAAAAATCAATTACCAGAAGTATCTCAGATGTATACTTGGAGAAGCCTAGATCCACCAAAGTACAAGCCATAGAGGTAGCACTGACATGCCGGTACTTCCCCCATACTCTTCCCTTACTCTCTCTCTCTCTCTCTCTATTGTGTACAAAGAATAGATCCTACCTAGAGGACTAATCTCTCTTGAATGCGATGCCCTAATCCTGAGATGAGGATATGAATTAGGGTTTCAGGATGGCTCTAGGGAGGGGGAGGGGCTGCTATATATAGGGGGTAGCATCAATTCTGGACCCTCGGATCAAACCGACTTGAAACAATGATGTAGATTTGATCTTTAAGGCGGTGGAGAACCGACGTATGAAGGAGGGATGACATGTGGACCCCATAGGCCAGCCAGCCTATAGGTGCGGCCGACCGGCCTCTCCCAATGACAGGTGGGGCTGGGCTTCGGTGGTTTGCCTTCTGGATGGTTCTAGAGTCTTCCTAAGTCGGTTTCGTCGTGGATAAACATAATTTGCTCTAACAATTGGGTCCACCTTGCTTGTTTTCTGGAAAAAACCCTGCTAAAAACATAGATTCAGCATAACTCATGAAATTTGTCAGTTTAAAGTCCTAAACCTATCTTTGTGATCATTTTGATGCATTTATACAAGTTATATTGACGGTTTATGATGAGTGTTAACTACCGTCAACAAGCTCCACCACACTTAACCTTTGCTAGTCCCTGAGCAAAGCTAAACTCAGCTGAAAGGATATAAACAATGCCTAGAGGGGGGTGAATAGGCATATCTAAAAATTTCTACGTAATCTCAAAGTCAAATGTCTGTGATAGTCGGAAGTCCCGATAGTTTGGGCCAAAACTTCCGGTAGCTCAAAGTTCCAACACAAACAGATGGGAGTTCTGGCACCTACGAGAATTTCACTACAAGTGCTAAAATGAACTTTGACTGATAGATATCTTACAACCCCACTCCCTAGTGGTAAAATGAAGTGTTGGTGTTGCACCTTTGACGCCAGAAGGTCACCACTTCGTAGATCGAGTCCAAACCCTAAGAGGAGAGTTAGGGAGGAATACAAACCAACAAGAACAAATATGATAGCAT